CTTTTATATCCAAAATGCTAATGCCTGTTCTTAGGTTCTTCAGCTGGAGGCGATATTGTAACAAACATCAAATCCGGCTTGGAGCTTATTCAATGGAAGATCGTCAAGAAGATGCTGACCTGAACATCGAAAGTACTGCTCAAGCGGAAAATACTGACGTGGATGTTGAAGAGCCTTCATCTTCTTCGAATCCTGCAGCGGGAAAGCCCCCACGGCAAGGTTCTCCTGTTCCTCCGAAGACGCTTTATAAAAGTACAACCGGGAAAGGCGTTGCATTCACTCCAGAAGATGTGCAATACCTAATGGACTATATGAATTATAGAAAGTATGGGCTTTACATGAATCACGGACCAGTTTCTGATCTTTCTGTAGGTCTCAATCAGTGGAACCTCTCGATATGGTGGAATTCTGGAACGATCTCTGGGAACGAGTGAGTCCGCACATACCTCCATCTACCACCGCTCACATTCACAGGCACCTCATCATTCAAGGGCTTCATGGATGAAGGTACGATCCTAGGTGCACTTATAGAATCGGCCATGACGACTTAAATTCTTCTCTTTAGTATTGGCGGCGTCACCGCCACGAGCTTGAACCTAAGGGGGATCAACCGACTCCTCCCGTCAATGTGGCCCCACAAAAGAAGTCACGTTACACCCGCAAAGACGACATTTTACTCGCTAAATATTTCTTTGAGGCTGAAGGAGCGGATCATCAAGAAAGGAAGACATCTGATGCTATTTTCCAAGAATTTGCTGCAGTGGTTCGTAACCTTTCCTCACATAATCAGGTGTATTGACAGGTGCTTTTGCGCCAGCATGCACATCATCCTTGGAAAGGATGGCAGGAACATCATCGCATTCACAAATCACAGATCGACTATCTAATCAAACAGCTTAGGGACGGAGATGAGTTGTAACCGTATACTTCATTGCTTGAATTATTCTTGTAGTCTACGTATACCATAGCGGAGCTAGAATCTTTACGCTATATATCTACCTGATGTTATTAGCCTTCATGTACTCATATCCTTTTATCTGTCATCAAGACTGAGTCCTGGAGAGCAATATCCTGAATAGACAATGAGTTGAATATGATGGCGAACAAGGTTTTTCCCATACCGTTGGATGGAACGGCCATCGTTGAAATGCTTCGAGAACATCCGCCCAATCTGCCATGGTCAGCTCTATTGGCGCTTTCTCCAGGACACTAAGATTGGATTGGTTCATATATTTGACCATATTTTGTGCACCTGAGGCCATTGATCTATGAAGCGTGAGAGTGTGTTCGAAAATTTGGAAGAGGACAAACTTGAGGGATTGAGAAATAGGTGTTGATCTGTTCACAAA